AGGATTTAAGGATAAGCCTTGTGTTCATTGCATAGTGTCTGTCGTGTGGTCTTCTTATCACTCAATAGATTAACAAAACGACTCCACTGTATAGAAAAAGTGTGCGCTTTAGCCCACAGTATACTCATCTCTCATCCCTGTGCCGCTCACAGCATAGCATTTAGAACACAGCCTATCATATGATAGAGAAAGAGAGAGAGAGAGAGAGCCCCGGGTTATGACTTGGAGTAAGCTATGATCACGACTTTCTTACTCATACGAGTGTTGACCACATATTTCTCGATCGTCCGCTTCATTGAGAAGAAGATACTCCTACTTATGCTCGGCTTTCCATTGGCTCTCAATATGTGTTCATTTGATTTAAAAATAGTATTTTATAAGAGAAAACACATTAGTCTTTGAGATATCATTAAACGGTTGATTCGGTTAAGACTTATGTTTCATAGAGTTTTTATCACATCATTTGAAAATGCATTTAGAAATTGATTTCTTTGACGATCACGAAGACAACGGAGACAACGATGACTACAGCGACACTTCGGACACAAAAGTATTTGTCAGAGCCGGTAAGACAACCCCTGTTCTCACTTCTCTCGTATAATAATAATTAACTTATTATAAATCATGTAATACACAAAACTCGTCAAATAATTGATTCCTTCATCCTTTCATTGACTTCAGTCAATCTGAAGGTCAATGTGAGAGTCTATCAGTTGTGTTGCCATCACATCTCGTCTTACCACTAGTCTTATACCTTAAAATACCTATCATTTCATGACTAATAGAGTATGCATTCAATTGAATTATTAGATCTCATATCAAATGCAAGATTTTAATAGAAAAATGTCATGAAATATGATTCAGTCATTAATATTTAACAATATTGGACTTATATAACGCCAAACAACACATTATATAAGAATATAAATAACAGAGACTTTGAATCTGTTTTTTGTTTGAATATATGATTAATGGAGAGAAAGAGTGAATGAATTATTGCTTAGGAATTTATAAGTCATTGTTTTGTTAGTCATTCAAATGTTTTGAATCATAACTCCGTATATTTAACATTAATTGTGAGACTTTTTCTATCTTTTGGGAAATTCTGAAATTTATATATTTTTAAAAAATTTTAGTAATTGTGCAAAAATCTTAAAAATATTCTTTAATATTTATAAAGTATATGTATACTAAAATCTATATTATATTACATTAATTAAGTCAATATTAGAAATTTTTATTTCTTCAAATACATCATTTAATCAATTTTAATTAATATAATTTAATGTGCAATTAGATAATTGTTTAATATTACCATCTTCAACCTTGGTAAAAATGTAAAAATATTTATAAATTAAATAACTTAGTAACTTATCATCTTATAATCTAATTACTTATTCCCTTTGTATTAAATTCTTGCAATAGAAGAATAGGCGATACAAAGAGCATAATTAATGAGACTACAACATGATAACTTACTATCCAATTTATAAGTGATTTTTTGGTTTTTACCAAGGTTGAAGAAGGCAAGTTTAACATTATAAAAATACAATATTAATTGACATCTCTTCAAATGATAATATTTCAAACATTATTCTCGATGTTTTACATACAGATACTGTAACTATAAGTAAAATATTTTATAATTATTTTTAGAATATAAAACTTAAGCATAGAATTTAAGTTATATTACAATATATATAACATTGAAGCATAAAATTGGAATAAATTAACACAATTCTGAGATTTTGAGAGCAAATCTCATATCAATGCTATTATACAGAGATTGTGTTGAATGGATGCTCACATTCAGAGGAGAAGGCGTATAACTTGATAATCATAATTCAAAAATAGGTTTTTTCCCACAAAGGTTTCAATTAATACTACAGTAAAGAAAGAAAAGAAAATACAATATAATTATTAAAAGATTATTTGAAGAAAATAAAAAATCTTTTTTGATTATATTAGACATTAGAAAGTAAAATGAGCTGAAAATGTAAACGGATTTAAAGTCATAACAGAGACTAAAACTATTAGCCGCTTATCATTCCACACATACTGGAGTGAACAGTGTCTGTAATGTGTGTAATGTGTAGTACATTGTGTATAGTGTAGAACACATACAGGTATGTACAGGTGTCCACACCCAGGAGCCCACAGCCAAATCGTGAGCATTTCGCTTCTTCGGGAGCATTGGCTAACATTTAATCGGAACTCTTGGCCATAAAGATTGATAAGTTGGAGAACATCCGTATTACTACACATTTATATTGCATTGCATTAAAAATATAGTCCAAATAATTTGAATTATCCCACGGTTTGAGAGCCGAGGCATAACATCCATATTGTCCACACCCTTATATTCTTTGAGCGCCTGAAGCCATCTCTCAGCCAAGTCGTGACCGAGAGGTGGAGGGAGGAAGTGATATACAGTTTGTGTTGGAATATATTATTGCATAACAAACTCTGCCCGTAATCGCAATTATTGGATACGCTTTCAACACAACAATTGTATCACAAATACGAGTATTGTGTTAACCCTTTCATTTCAATTCTCGTGAGAATCTCTTAAAAATGCAATTCTGTTAAAAATAAAATTGAATAAATTAGCAATTTATATAATATTTGATATTATATAACCCACACATCATTATAATAATATAGTCCAGTATTGTTCACATCTAATGAATCACATTGTGATGGATTCTCAAGGATTTTATCCTCAAAAGAATTTTTATTATATGATTATATGACTGATATTTAAACATAATTTACATTAGAAAAGAGAGTATAATATCGTACCCTATATTTAAAATCGTATATCATTTGCAAATCGATTATCAGATCCACTGTTTTGGGATTCAGACGATATATGTAAATGGCTTTTGTGGACACAAAATGTATTTATGTTGGATTCGCTAACAATCGGCACATTTCCTACCAGTGGTTATGAATTATGTAAACTTCAAAAACAAGATATTATTGACTTAATTGGCGATAAAAAGACCGCAAAATTTCTTTATCAACACTTAAAACATTTAAAGAAAGGTATTATAAATATTAAAGTTATGATAAATTAAAAAATAAAACTGTATTTGATTTTCAATATATAGTTTCGGGCCATAAATTGGAGGAATTGTATGAAAGCGATGACGATTGCGATGAAGAATATTCTGGTGAGTGTTAAATAGATTTTTGTGTCATTTGCTTAAACATAGTCTCTATCGGAAACTTGCATTTTGTTATGTAAATTCGTCTTAACGTTAAACTATATCTTATCTTAATTTTCTGTCTTTGCTTTCATTGTTGTCATTATATTTAACGTTTGGTTCGTTTAAAATGTGATTCCGTTTTATTTCTATTACAATGGCTTTTAGAGAAATAAATGGAAATCAGGTTTGATAGGAGAGAGAGAGAACTGTTAGACCATTGTATACACAATGACTCGACTCAGTCATCAAATCGCATATCGATGTGAATACATATCAAGTGTGAAAAAGTAACATAAAGACAGAAAATTAAGATAAGATATAGTTTAACGTTAAGACGAATTTACATAACAAAATGCAAGTTTCCGATAGAGAGAGAGAGAGAGAGAGAGCGTATAGAATAGAGGCTGAGTGTGATATACAGTACATTCTCTGGTTGTTTGGCTATCGATAACATTGGCATCAGTTTAGAGTTGAAGCGAGTGTTTGGTAGAGAATAAAGCGAATCAATTGTGAGCTATAAATGCATTGTATGTTTGTTTTTAGTGAGAAAAATAGCAAAACTGCAAAAATTACAGGAAGGAAGCGGTCAATGAGCACATAGTCTATTGATTTTACACAAATTCTTCTATTTTTTGCTCCATTTTTAGTCTTTTATATCATTTCATATAATGTTTACTCATATAAAATGTTGTTATTGTAAATCAATGTATTAATTGAGTCCATTCTCTGCTAAATTGTGTTACTTTTTCACACTTGATATGTATTCACATCGATATGCGATTTGATGACTGAGTCGAGTCATTGTGTATACAATGGTCTAACAGTGCTCTCTAACAGCCCTCTAAAACACACTCTATTTTCTATTAGCAGATACTATATGTAAATACAGCTGAATAGCTATTATTGTCAGCTTTAATATAAACGCAATGATAGCAGTGATTGATATACTATTCAGCCTCTGATCTGCTATTGTAGTAAAGTTGCGGCGAATCCTAATCGCTATTATCGCATATATAGGCGTTATATCATTCCGTATAATAAACCCAAATAAAGTGCACTTCAATACAAAGTCAGAGCCAAAAAATACAGTTTTACATAATATGGTTATTAGGTTTTGAAAGCGAAACAAACTTCAAAATCTAGTCTCATCTGAGATACTATACTCTCAATGTTGTAAAGTCTTGTCGGCCATAAATCTTGATATAGAGGACGGCATCACTTGCTCTGCAGATCAGTTCGATTGGATTCGTTGAGTCCTTTCCCAAAGACCACTATTTTTTGCCAGAAATCTTAATAGAATTTAAGGTTTAGTTAAACTATTTATTATTCCGTCAAATAAAAGCCGAGAAGAGCTCACACTCTAAGCGATACACATATTCCGATGCAATCATCGCTTTCTATACATATTTCCGAAAGCAAACAACACTAACACTAAAAGAGGCGGAACTTGACGTTTGCTTCACAATCTCCGGCCCTCCGATTGGAGACTTGACATCAAAATCACTGCCAAAATAGCAGAATAAAGAGAATAAGATTCTGCATCCAAACCATCATTTAATTCATATTATATATATTGACTCAACCGGTCATCACATCTAATGTCTAAACGCTTTCTCACAAAATGCTATTTCCATTCAATTCTCTGATAAAAGAGTCTATAATTTAATAGAATTTAAGTTTTTTATAATAAAAGTGTTTACAACAAAATAATACTACACTCTATTCGCTCGCATTTAAATCTCTCGTTTATATCCTATTCTCAGACTCTTTAGTCTAAACTCAATCCAAATGATGCTCTATTCGGGTGAGTATTCTATGTCTCTGTAAAACACTCTTTCCAACAATAGTCTCATTTTATTATCAAATCAGAGATTCAATATTTCCTCATTATTTCCGTTTATATTTCATTTCATTTTTATTAATATTTAAATTCAACATTTAAATAACGTGTGTTTGCAATGATATTTGAGGACTAAATAATTTTGAAAATTCATAGACAATAATATCAATCAATTCAATTGGATTTCGATTATATTTGTTATAAAAGTTTCAATTTATATAAAATGTGTTTCAAAATTATAATTACAAATAATGTATTCAGACTTTAGGAAAAGTACCAAAATTCTTATCATTTCAAAATAAGAATTGCCAATAAATTATGTATAGTTTATTAGAAGTAGTATATTATTTACAACTCATAATTAATTACAAAATTACGATAAAATAGTGATGACTGTTAAACAAAAACATACCATTATATCTATGTCTGTATTTATGTCTATTAATTATGCTTTCCGAGTGATAATTGTCATTAAACCACAAATCTTTGATAACCAATCGATGAATTGACAAAAAAGTCAAATATCATGCGATAAGGATATAAATAATGGCAGCACTTATTTCTTGCACCAAAAAATCAATTGAAAAATTTGTTGGTTTATTATTAATGAAAGAATGATTTAGTATTGAAAAGTGGCCTCGATCCAATTTGAATAAAAATTGTACAATTTAATATTATTAATTTAAGGCAAATCTATTTAATTTATGAATATCCGTTAACTTGTATAAGATTAAATGCAATCAAGTATTTTATACATTGTTATAAAAATGCTATTAAATAATTATAATGTGCTAATTAGATTACGTAAACATTTACTACTGTATCTTATTTATTAATAAGTTATTAATAAAACATGAATTTATAAATTTAATATAGCCACAATATGCCGATTAAATAGGAGCATGTATATTTTGAGAATCCGTGTTTCATGAATTATCCAAAAGAGTACACACGTTATGCACTATACGAAAACTAATGCTTAAAATTGCATTATACAGATCTGTACACATTTTCTCAGCACATCATCATGCTAAAACCATAATCAAATGTTTTATTTGTATTTATAATACAATATTCTATTAGGCATAGATGAGTTTCTTATAATAATATACAAAAGATAATTATAATTCATAAAACATTTATTTAATAAAAATTACCATGAACTTAAATATAAGTTTAAAAACATAGATATTTATGATGCGCTATCATTGAGTTACATTTTTGTAACTTATTTAGACAAACAAGATATTAATAAAATTGCTTGCTAAAATTTATTCTGATTTACTTGATACCAATTTTATGGTTAGTAATTAATATTGTATAATTAAAATGATGATCATTTCCAGATCCGTCATATTCTGATGCACTGAGAAAAGGCAATTGGTCTCCAATAGCCACTGGGGTTAACCCTGGGATGACATTTTCAAATTCACAAAATGTATTGTCAAATACAGGTAAGACATGAATATACTGTATGTTTAAGAATATAATTAAATCTAATTGTTATTTAGGTTTTACATCTCAATCACTGTTGTCGACCGCAGCCAACGCTAACATCAAAAACAGTGCCACGAATTTGCAAAATGATAACCAAAATGCAATCAATTCTCGTCAAAACCAAAATCAAGGTATGAAATGATTGCTAAATATAATACAAATCAAACCATTTTGTCATTTGGATGAATAGATCCCTACAATTTGTTGAACGCCGCCACCAGTCGTTTGGCTACACAGGGTATGTAAACTGTGAACTCAAATCTTTGTATAAAAATATTTTTGTGACTTTTGTTGCAATCAATTTTTGACAATAAATTTTTACAACTAGAGATTTCTTTCTAACTTGTTGTTTTTGTTTGATTAATATTATTTCATAACATTTACCATTAAATACATGTTAGGCGTGAATATAATACATGTATCGATGCAATCAGCAAAACGCTGAAGCCTTTTAAAAGTTAAAAATCTATTTTACAGTGGAATTCAAACTATTGGACACTTTTATTTGTTGTCAAGTTTTATAAATGAGTTTCAAATATTTCTAGTGTTTCACAATTTATTTCAATTAATTTTTTTGGTGACAAAATGATATGCATTGCTATTACTCTCCAATCAATAACATAATAGAAAATTGTGTTTCTTTATTTTGGTATTACGTTAGCACACAATAAGAAATGTTTGAAAAGTTATTTTTGTTTAAAAAGATTTTACAGATAATAAACATTTATCTAATATTCCAGTATTGAGACAAAGAAAGAGTCTCTGACTTTATTTTAGTGAAACAATTATTAGTTTGGCTTTTGATTTATCTTCTCTTCGAGTGCTTCTAATACTGCAGTGAAATAGAAATCATAGCAAAGACTGACTTCAATATTAATAGTGAGCTTAGAAAAAGTGTGGGTAAACCTTGAGGTGATATATTTATATAACATATTAGGCATTCGAAGGCATATTAATAGTCAGACCTATAATTATATTCAAGTTATCTTTTCTCAGAGATCGGACACAGAGTCTGTCTTAACCTATCATACAATGAATGCATTTCAATATATGTCTTATAAATCTATTTTGTTTTATATAATCTTCTTTTTATAGTCTTCTCTCAATTATTTTAATGACATTTAATAATTAGTTTTATAATTCATAGTTATGTTCACTTTTTGAAGATGTATTCAATTATATTAGCAAAAAGATACAAAATTAACTTATATTCTTCATATCTGACTTTTATTAATAAAAACAATCTTAAAAAACATTAAATGAATGGTGAAGACAAAGACACGGCCAAGCACTGTATAATAAGTCAGTTTATATGAAATAACTTTTAGGCAAACTTATCATTTTATATTTAATCACAACTAATTAAAGCAAAATATAGTTTATTAAATAGTGGATATGATAAAGTGGTGAAAATTGTTTAATTGGTTTAACCATTAAACCTCACCTGACATTA